GCCGGGTCCCCCTGGTCGGCTGGAGACGGTCTCCAGCAGACCAGGGGCACCGGAGCAGCTTACGAACGGGGCTTTCTCGCCCCGACCTCCGGGGCGAGAAAGCCCCGTTCGTAAGTGTGGATCCGACGTAAGTCGGGGACTGCCTGTACACAATTGCTGCCCCGGAAGGGGTGGGGCCTCAGGTAGAAGGGGTGGTGCTCCCCTGCCCACAGACCCTAATTGGCATGGGGATGGGGAAGCATGTGAAGTCTTTGCCCCCACCCTCTCCCCACCTAGAGAGAAGTGTGCTCTGAACAGCTGGTGGTTCTCTCTAGGCACCTGCGCCCTTGGCGGCGGGAGGGGAGACTTTGTGTGCCCCCCAACCCCCAGGTCAATCAGGGGCTGGGGGCAAGGAGAGCACGGTAAGTCTCTTGCTCCCTTCTCCCACCCTGCAAAGGGAGCACGGCACTTAGAGTGCACTGATGCTTGGGCCAAGGGTTGAGGAGGGTGTGGTTTGGGCTTTGGTTTTGAGGCAAGGGGGCCACTTACCAGTGGCCAGCAACATTCAGAGCTCTGCCCCCAGCCGGCCACTCTCTTACATGTGTCTCCACCAGTTTGTGGTAACTCTGAAGTATAACTGTTCTCTGCCCTTGCTTCCCCCCTATGGTCATTCCAGAGCATAACTGTCCCTGCTATCAGACCCCTCTCTTTCCATGTTATCGAAAACATTCGGAGTCCAAGCACATCTTATTGTCCTGGCACAACCAAACTTCTACCTTGCTTTGTTATGATAAGAAGGAGCAGCATACCAAATTTGGTGGTCCTAGCTTGTATCATTTAGGAGAAGTTCTTGAACAAATGGACTCACAGACAGACAGTTTCTAAAATGTATGCTAAGAAGATAACTACTTGTTTATACGTCAGTCTGCTGCCTAATAGTACAGTTGATTATTTGTTTTCTTAAACTGTATTTGTCAAGGAACTGAAAGAGAATTCAGTGCAAGCAGCTTTTATGTAGATACAACGTGTTTCTACACCGAAGACTCGTTGCAGAGATTGGATTTAAGGCACAAACATTGTATTGCCACACACTAAATAAAGGAAAATGCATTTTTCTGCATAGTGTGCCAGAGAATTGGAGAACCAATTTGGAATTGCATTTTTGAAGTTTTATATCACAAAGGAATTTATCTCCTGTTTACTGATTTCTTTGAAGTGTAGTAGTTCATGGTTAAGTAGCTATCACAATAAAACTGTTTAGTTTATTATTACTTTTTGTGGAACGTATGGCAACTTTAAATATTTGTATTGTTCATTATGGTTTTGGAAAAACTGATATTGAAAAATCCCAGTAAACATAATTTTCTTGAAACTGCAGTTTAGATTTTGTTGGCTTAAAGGCAAAATAGAAATAAATGCAACTTCCAAGTAGCCCAAAAAGAATGAGGAAATGCACCCTATAGTTAATCATTGATGTTATATTCTTGTCAAAGCCTATTAATTTGTACGTAAAGGCTTGTCATCTTAAGCAAATGTTTTTTATTAACAAAATAGGTCACATATTTGCTCTGCTGTGAAACAGAGTTCATGGTTCTGGCAAGGGTATTGTTTTGATACAGAGCTGTGCTAGCAAGGCAACAGTTACGGCTGATAAAGCACTTCCATTGTAAGCGCCTCTAGGCATCTCTGAGCTTGCTGCATCAGTTCTGGAAATAAAAAAATTGCTCGAGCCTGGCACCTTCCTTACTAATTTACAAGGCCAACCCTAGTGTCGCTTGGGGGAGCAGAGCTGGCTGGCCTGGGGCTTAGGACATGATGGCTCTGCTAACTAAGCACTGCCTGTTGCACTTTTAATTCAAGGCTTCCATGTGAGTGTAGGTCAGGGGTGGGCAGTAATTTTCAGAGGGGGGCCACATAGTGAAATTTGGTATGTGGTTATGGACCAGCTCTACCTCTGGAACAGTTGGGGCCTGGACAAGAAGGGCTGGGGAAGGGGACTAGCCTCCTCTCAGGGTTGTCTGGTTTATATATACTGTCTGTATGGAAAGTGTTCAAACCTACTTGTATAACCCATTTTCAGCTGACTGCATAAAATGTATAAAATTGTTTATTGTTTTTAGGTAATGCGTCTGGGGGCTGCACCAGCTAGCCTGAGCTTCCTGTCCCTCCAAGTATATGCTTCATCCTCAGAGAAGGAAACTCCAAAAAAAGAGTTGCTAAAAATTGATGAGGTGAGGCCCTGCTATTCCCCCATCCCTATCCCCAGCTTAATCTCATAAGGCTCTGGTAGATGAACCTCTGTCCATTCAAGTGTGTTTACACTGACAGGGTCTCTCCTTTAACTGAGTTGAACACAGTCTGACTTTTCTGCATTCCCACAATAATTACAAGGATTGGTGATCATCAGGGCTCGACAGTTAATGTAATCTATTCGCTCGTGGCGAGTAGATTACAAGGTGGCACAGCCGCGCAGCGTGATCTGCGCATGCGCAGCGCACCGAACCGCGCGGCTGGCAAGTAGGGCTCTCCATGGCTTGGTGAGCCCTGGTGATCATATTTCACAATTCCTGCATTTAATATCAACATAATTAGTGATCCCACAACAGCCAAATTGGTTAAAATGGGCAAAACATCATTACAGTGGTTAAATATCTAGCAGGCCTAAGCAAACTGAGCGAACTGTATTTACATGCACACGTGCAGAATCTCATTCTTTAAAATGAGAGTTTGTGCCAGGTTCAGCATGGACTTTCTTCTTTTGCATTCCCCCAATACAGTAAAACTCCAATGCTCCGGCACTCCTGATGGTCCGGCACCATCGGGAACCTGGAAGTGCTCCAGGCGTCCGGACAATTGGAGCTGCTCTGCGCCCGGCTTCCTTGATTCAGCCAATGCTGAAACTGACCAGCAGCTGAATCGGGGAAGCTGGGGGCAGAGCAGCTGGGGAACTCTGCCCAGGGCTTCCTGGAGTCAGCTGCTGATCAGTTTCAGCAGCAGCTGACTTGGGGACGCCTGGGGCAGAGCAGCTGGGTTGCTGCCGGATTGGTCCCGCAGCGCCGAGGATTAGCGTTATGGTACCAACCCGGCAGCACCCCAGCTGCTCTGTCTCAGGCGTCCCCAAGAGCAGCTGGGGGGCTACTGGGTTGGTCTGGCAGCGCTACCGGACCAACCCGGCAGCACCCCAGCTGCTCTGTCTCAGGCGTCCCCAAGAGCAGCTGGGGGGCTACTGGGTTGGTCTGGCAGCGCTACCGGACCAACCCGGCAGCACCCCAGCTGCTCTGCCGCAGGCATCCCCGATTTAGCCGCTGCTGAAACTGACCAGCAGTGGCTGAATCAGGGACGCCTGGGGCAGAGCGGGACTATCGGAATGGGGGGCTATGAGGGGTCTGGGGTGGCATCCCCCCAACCCACCTCACCCCCCTCATAGCCCCCCCTTCTGATAGTCCGGCATATTTGATAATCCGGCACCCCCTGGGTTCTAAAGGTGCCAGATTATCAGAAGTTTACTGTAATTACATCACGATTTGTGATCCAACACAAGCCAAATCAATTACAATGAGCAAACACCATTGTAACAGCCGAATATCACATCTAAGAAAAGCAGGGGCAAACTATTTACATAAACACACCCAGGATTTCTTTCCCATTCCAGCTGGCTGTAACAGAAGCATTGATTCAGACCCTGCTTACATAAGTAAAGCAACAAAGACAAAAATCTGTCTGTCTTACAGTACAACTATATTTATCATTCACTGTGGAGATGAAATATGGTCCATTCCCTCTATGATTTACAGTCCTGCAGTTCAATGTATTGTACTATCTTGCAGTTCGGCATGGTGCAGGGATCTCCACACTGCATTGAAAGATCAAGGCTTAAATATGAACAACAATGGAAAAAAAATAAGGGTCAAGAACAGGGTACAGAAATAACCTGTGGGCCCTTTAGTTATACATTAATCTTGGTAGTCGTTACTACAAACATTTGTTTATACGCTAAAACTTCATATAAAATTGGCTGTTATCTCTCTCTCTCTCTCTCTCTCTCTCTCTCTCTCTTTTAAACCTGATTGGCTAGTCAAAATGTGAGGCTTAGTAAGTTGATCTAGTTAGGAGTAGAAACTGATCATGAAGTCTGATATTTTCTTTGACATCTTGTTTATTCACAGGGAATGTGCAAACATTCTGCTTTCCAAAATGCAGGTGGAACAAAATAAACCAGGCATAGCTTCTTTGCTTACAGCACAAGTCTAGTTAGCCAGCCCAAGATCCAAAGATCTCTTTAGGTTTTTCGAAGAGGCATGCTGTGTTTAAACTGGTGCACGCCTTTCTTGCCCTCTTCAGAATCTCTTTGTTTCTTCTCTCCCTGTCTGCCTCCCTGCTATCCATCTTTTCCACAGATGCATGAAATTGGTTTGGGACTAGGGATGTAAAAGCAGTTTAAAAAATACTGTGTAAATGATTGCAATTCAGTTGGTTACACGGTTAAACTTTGTGGGCCTGTCGGGTTGGTGGCAACTGCTGGCATTGTGAGCTCTCACCACCACTGCTCTGCAGGTGTTTAACCATTAATTGGAACTCATAAGCATCAGGGTATCCGTTAACCAGTTAAACTCTTACATTCCTAGTCAAGAAAGTAGCCTATAGAACCCTCCATGCACATGTTCTCTAGTTTCTGGGCAGACTTTATTATGTCTTATTTCAAAGTGACTTCTTGTCTCCAACAACTGTCTTAAATGAAGGGTGCATTCACACACAGGTTTCAAAAAGATTTAACTGAACTCATAACATTATAGAGCAAACTTCAGTGTTCCTGAGAAACCATCAGTAGCTCTAATACATTGAAATGTAACCCAAAGACGTATTGGGCATTGTTAATTTATAAATTAGAATAGGACAGGCTGTCATGCTCCAGCCTAAAGTGTGGATCTTTCAAGAAAAGATTTGGCTATTGCCACATATTGCATTTCCTTTGAGCAATTATTAGACTGCAAAGTGTTCCTATTTTTTTAAATGTTAAAAGTATTTTTCTTTCATATAAGTAAAAATGGCTCTAGATTTGTTGAAATTTAAGGGGCTTACGTAAAAGTAGTTTGAGCTAAGACTAGGTCTGAGAAAAAGGAACTGCTTAGAGTACTATGAGGAACTGAACTTAAGGTATGGAATTAAATGACTGTCAAGCTGTTTATGTATTATGTCAGAAAGTCTGCAGTTAGTATTTCTTATTGCTTTAGGAAAATAAGTGTCGTCATACTTCGGTTAAAAAGTGCTAATCATGTGAGAAAAAGCATGTCGCTGTTTTAAATGTAAAGTCCAATAAACTGGTCATAAATCTCTGCCAAAACTTATACAGCTTGTATTAAAGAAAATACACAATAAAACACAACAATAGCATTAGGGCTGTTAAACAGTAAGGATACTGATAAGCATGATGAGGTATGCATACCAGCTAACTGACACTTGCCAGTTAACTCCGCCAGCCTTAGGTCAGAGCACCCCACCCGCAGGACTTCCCAGCTGCAGAAGGTTAAAATGGTTAACTATTTTAATATCCCTAAATAGCATGTAAAATAGAATGAGTATTAAGATATCAGTCTTCAGGTAGTGTGACAAATTTACACTTATAAAAGGCTAATGATGTTAGACATGTCTTCATTATGTAAATACTACTAATTTAGATGACAGTAC